CGAGCGATTAACCCTTAGATCACTGAGCCGGCCGACATCCAACGGTGTTAATTTCTAACTTCAACTAATCCAAGAAGTTGCGCCACCGTACACCATTGTCTTCAGTGAACTGATATCTCACAACAGACCTGGGTTCGAATCTCGCGGGGGCCGGGATCGTGGATGCGCACTGCCACGGAGTAGTCCCATGCTAGGACGAGACGGCCGTCCAGTGCTTCCAGGTTTTCCATGGTGGTCTAGCTTTAACTGACTCATGATCTCAACCAGTGAAATAACTAGAAAAATTTTCCTTTTCTTTACACTTAAATATTAATTTTAAAAAAAACAACCCATAATTAGTTTGTTTATATATTTGAATTGAAAATATAAATAGTGGTACAAAGGGGTACCGAATACATATGCGCCACACAAGTCACTCGATTAGTGTGTGGGGGCTGTGATACTAACCGAGTGCCCAAACCGAAACACGTGGTTTTCTTAGGAGGCCGCACTCGGAGCCTTCGACCTAAAGGTCTGATCCGTAAGACAGTGGAGCAACGTTAGGAGATGCAGTCCGATGGTAGCCGGTGTCCAACGATTGGTTCATACGCCATTTGTTCCTTCAGGATTCTGAAACCCATGTGCACCATTCGTTTGGAATGAGGGTTTCCCAACTCTCCTAGATAAATCCACCATGTCTATAAACCCGGTTAAACCCTGAGCCGGACACTCACTTTTTGTCCTCTCAACTTTCTAAACAACACCCTGGTCGCGATAAGGCAGTAAGTAGGAGTTCTCTGACAGTGGCTGTATACACCTGGCCATGTGAGAGCATTTGGAGAGAGAGAGGGGACTCTCCCCATCCTTGGCCGTACCGGGTCATTCGATTGATCATTAATAAATATTATCAAAAAGTGGGTTTTATAGAGATTGTAGTAATTTTAATAATGCAATGAGAAGACGTAGTTTATCAGAATTATGTGATATATTTGCGCAATACATTTCGAACAATCTGATCACACATCATATACTTGTTAAGAACATTTATATATGAAAAATTAAAAGGTCAACTAGACAGGTTAAGGGTAAGTCATAACAAAGGAAAAAATATTAAAGTACACAAAAACAAATGTGATTACCACTCTGGACAGTAAATCAGTACTACCAGGGTAGGTTAAGTGTAAGTACAAATTGTTTTTGAACACATAAAGGGGGTTTCAATTTTCGTATAGCCAAGGCTTCAATAAACCTTAGTGTACGTCCTTGAAGGCTTTTGTACAACACAACAAATGCTGATTTGATATCAACCTTATGACCGTCTCAATCAAATGTTTCGCAGTGGATGATGATGTCTGTCTATCCTGTGATCTTATTTCACCATTGGAATTTATCTGATTCTGCAACCATTTTGGTATATGTTCACCCACCCTTAATTGCAAATCACGATTGCTCCTACCTACGTACGTGTTTCCACACATACATGATGTAAATTGATAGACACAATGGGATGTGACACAATCGTTTTCGTGCTGTTTGGGCTTTTGGTGAAACATAGACCTTGTCTTTTCAATAATGACAAGTTGGGCTGCATAAAATGTCCGGTTGATAGCTAATTTAAGTCTCTGTTTCAACATGAGACTATTTGTGTCACCTCTGAATGGTAGCGTAATATAAACTCGCTTTTTGGGTGCCAGAAGCGTCATAGGTCTAGTCATATTGCAACCCTTCCAGCGGTTTATGAACTTCAAAGGGTAACCATTATTGAATAACGCATCAGTCAAGAGCTTCATCTCTACTTCAATAGTATCACTAGTACAAATACGATTGATTCTATTGAATAAGCTCTTTATTAAACCACGTTTATAATGAATGGGGCAGTGACTATGAAGATTAAGATATTGTCCTGTCCATGTTAGTTTTCTATATATAGCACGTTTAATGGAACCATCATCTCTCCTAGTAATCAGGATGTCAAGAAAAGGAAGTTGGTTGTTCTTCTCTTCTTCACATGTAAGAGAAATGTGGTTTTGACTACTATTGAATTCTTCTAACAAGTGGCTTATGTCTTCAATTTTATCACCTATGATTATTATGTCGTCTACATATCGTTTATACAGACTCATCTTTCGAATTGAGTCTCCAACTAAATTTTCCACATATCCCATGAACACATCAGCTAGCAATGGTCCTAGAGGGCTGCCCATAGCTACACCATCTATTTGTCTGAAGTGTTCACCTTCAAATGTGAATTTTACATTATCTGTACATAATAATAATAATAATAATAAATCTTTAAGAGTTTTAACAGGAAAAGGTAGTGGAAGGTTTTCCGAAGAAATAAAGTCACACAAAATATCAATGGTTTTCCTAAGAGGTACATTTGTAAATAAAGTGTTTACATCAAAGGAGCACATTGTCTTTGTCTTTATATTTATATCCTTTAAGTAATTAATTAATTCGACTGAGTCAGTCAAAGAATACTTACAATATTGATTTCTGATAGGGTTTAATAATTTTGTAAGCCATTTTGCCAGGTTGTGTGTAGGTGACCGACACATAGATAGAATTGGACGTAGGGGGGTATTAGGCTTATGAATTTTCGGTAATCCATATAAATTAGGATATGCCGAACCCATAGGTTTTAATAAATTAAACTCATCTTTGTTAATAGCATTCATGTTTAACAATTTCACAAGATTCGAGTTCACTTTCTTTTCTAATTTACGTAATCCATCAAAGTCATTCTTCTGGACCAAAGCAGAGAAGCATATTAACTTCTCAGCATTTCAAATCATTAAAAGAATTGCGAAATAATGCCGATATTATTATACTTAAACCTGATAAAGGATCTGGTGTTGTTATTATGAATAAGTCAGATTACAAAAATAAAATGGAATCCATTCTCAGTGATAAAAGTAAATTTTTGGCTGATGTTGACTGTAACGGTTATCCACAGTTTAATGCATTTGTTTAAACGCAACAGTTTTCATAGTGTTTGCTCTTGGTTCGAGTTTCGCTTGTTCATAATGTAACACGTGTAATCAGAAGTCACTGGAAGGCGGAAAGACCTAAAGCCACAACACACACAATGTTAACTGAACACTTCACACCACAGAGAGAACACGGAATGGAGACCACCAGTCGTTTATTTTTAAAATTAAAAATTCGCGGGTTCTGTACAGAAAAGAGAGCTAGTTTACAAAACGGTCTTATGAGTCGTCCTGTAAGTTTAGTGCGTGCAGGGCCTGCTCTTCTTCTTCTAAAGCATTTATTCTTGCTTGCCCTGCAATAGAAAGAGAACAAAATCCATTAACAACATCATACATGATGATTTTAATCCCGTTACAATAAACTGTTATCAAATTTAGACACAGCCATCGGCTGTCTTTGGACTATCGTATGTTATAATCATTCTTTATGTTACTCTTACTGGAAGCCATTGCTATTTTCATTCTTGAACGACGCGTTTAGACGCCTAGACACCTCACAAGTTGAGGTTTGTAACTAAATTTTGTGTATTATTTAATAAAGAACCGCTTTTGTAGACAAATTGTTGTTTTGGAACTTCGATTTTGCGCGTATGTCAATCGGGGTTACTTAGACGCTTCGATAGAATTAACAATGACTAAATGTTAAAATCTGAAATATCTAACCTTTGTCATTATATATATATATATATATCCCGCGTGCGGGACCGTGGATGCACACTGATGAAGAGTCCCATACTAGGACGAAACAGCCTTTCAATACTTCCAGGTATTCTATGGTAGTCTAACTTTAATTGACTCATGAGTTCAACTACTATATTATTATAATATCCACAAACCCCCCTTTCTGATATATAAACAACCTGATTGAATTACGAGTTGAATGCTGTATTTTTCAACCGAAATGTGGAATAATTATTGATTATGGTATTATATGTAAACTAGTTAAATGAAATCTATTTAAATATAAGTAAATACTGAATAAATGTGTCAATTTAGTTTATAACTTATAAACATAATACATAAGCAAATATCATTTCATTATTATATCCGTTTTAATATCTACATTCCCCTGATAACCACTATTCATCTTTGCTTAGCAACGGCTAAATGTTAAAATTGAGTAATTATGAATTGGAATAAATTTGAAGTAAGTTTTGTGTTGAATATCTATGAGAAGTGCTGATCTTTATTCAGAAGCAACAGTTTCCGCGTTTTATCAATACAGGGTTATGAAGGTTATTAAGTTTTTAATTGAGTTGATGTACTGATCGATGTTAGACTATCATTGAAAACCTAGAAGTACTGAACGGTCTTTTCATTCTATTGTGGGACACCTTAGCAATGAGCATCCACGATCCCGCTCACGGGATCAAAATGTTTCTATGTTTGTTTGCTTCTGGTTGCCGCTTTGCTTGTCGGTAAACTGTTATCAAGAATAGACACAGTTAGCAATTGTCGTTTGCATTATCGTATGTCACAATAATTCTTTATGTTATTATTTTAGAAAACCTTTTTTCTTTCAAACTTACAGACTCACTAAGCGCCACAGATACACCATGAATTGAGTTATGTAGATCATTAACGTATATTACTCAATAAAAAAAACCCAGCTTTTTAGACAAATTACGCGTATCTCAACCATGTAATGAGATTCTTCAACAGATTTAACAATTAATAATAATACTAAGCAATTTAATTTGTCATTGTTTTCATCTCAGACTCATTTTATTTCAACATCCATTGAAAAACGGGAAACACTGACTATCCATTTCGTCCTAGTATGGGACTCTTCATTAACAAGCATTGAACCTAGTGTCTTTAAGTCTCTCAGGGTCAGTCAATAGATGTGTGGTTTCTACTGGTTCACACCTCTAACTTCAAATGATTTATGCTATATGTCAACCAACTCCTCTTGGGTAACTGTCACTCATCCAACACGGTTTATATTTTCTGATATGGTAACCATTCTTATTATATCAAGTGAATGTGTGTTAAATTTGTTTGATTATTGTTCGATGCATTTATTTGTAGAGAACAATTACGTTCGTATGAAACTAATGTAATTACGTTTCTCAAATCGGTGGAGGTACTTGATTCCACGAACTTGGATACAACCAATATCTATAAGGTAATGATTCTTAAGGAATGATAATAACAAAATATTTACAATATTTTTCACCGAAATTGATTAATTTGATCTGTAAGAGTTCGTATTTTCTCTACATTTATGTTAAGGCTTATAATTGATTAACCTCTTTTGACATATACGTCCTGATCGGATTCACAAATAGTTACAAGCTTCGATTAAGATTGGATTATGGCTAGGAGTGAAATTCAGCACGTGCATTTCGACATATATACAGGATCTATCAATTGAATGTATCTGACATATCCTAGTGTTGGTATTTATACTTGTGCTCGGACCCGTCAACTTTCTCATCAAACGCATTATCAATTGAGCTACTGAATCCACATAGCCACTAATCTGTTTAACAGATGTGATGAATGCAATCAACTAAAAAAATCTCTTACTGATTAAAACCATACATATTCTACAAACTTTTTTTTATTTATTTCAACACATAGATATTGGTACAAGGAGGCACCAAATAGATATGCGCCATACAAATCTCATTCGATATGTGTGAGGGCTGTGATACTACCAGGGTGCCCAAACCGAAGCAGGTAGTTTCCATAGGGGACCATACCCGGAGACTTCGACCTGAAGATCTGATCCACAAGGTAGTGGAGCAACGTAAGGAGATGCAGTCCGATGGTAGCCGGTGACCAACAACTGGTTCATACGCCATTTGTTCCTTCAGGATACTGGAGCCCATGTGCACCAGTAGTTTGGAATCCGGTTCAAGCGCCAGACATTCGCTTTTCGTCCTCTCATTTTCATAAACAACACCCCTGCCACGAGAAGACAGTGAGTAGGACTTCCGTGGCAGAGGCTATATATGCGTGGCCATGTGAGAGCATTTGGAGAGGGAGAGCGGACTTTCCCCACTATTGGCCGTACCAGAGCATTTGGGGGCATTCTACAAACTAGCGGTATTATGAACTCAATAGCTCAATCAATAATACGTTGGACGTTCAAAATGAATTTTACTATATTCCAGTCTCAGCTTAAACATTAACAATAGATTGTAGTAGATGTATCCAGTTGATCAATCTTAAGTCGATCGTAACATACTTCATGTATTCCTCTACTAGTCATTGTCTAACTGGTCAATGAAAAGGAATATCAAACATATATTTAAATCTACTTTGTCTTAGTAAATAGCATCATTTATCTGTAAAAATAGATTTAGAATGATAATGTGCATAATTTCTATATATAGATTATTGTATTCATAATGATTTGACCTAATTAGTCCAAGTATTCTATACTTAAAACAATGGAATCTTATAATCAAACTAATCTGGTTATTGGTTCTGACTAGTGGTGTTTCATTTTTTCTTTATAAATAAGATATGAATGTAAATGCTTATATACTTGAACAACATACACACACATACAAACACACTTAAGTGGATGTTACAACTCATTATACAAAATGAAATGAAGTATATGTGCAACTAATGGAGAAGAGTGTGCCAATAACAATAGCATGAACGGTAAGTATTTAAGGCTACCGTGGTAATTTAAGTAAAACCAAGATCGATTTTTCTAGTGTAAGTAGAAGGATCTTACTTTTCATTAAGTCTTTAAACAGAATACTACAGATGAATAGCTAATGGATTCTATTTTGAGCTAAGCACAATGGTGTTTCTAAAACCTTACGCAGGGAACTGTGGTGAACCAACAGATTGTTTTCTCATGTACAGCTAGCATTCGTCTCACAGCCTCATATATAAGTCTAACTATTTCTGCACCCTATTTATTTTATAAGAACATCGATAAATACTGCTCAGTATAATGAAATCTAAAATCACATGTATAAAATATGACCAAGTCAGTGAAGCTTGTGTTTGAAGATGGAAACACTCACAATATTTTATCAGCTGTATTTTGTCTAAAGAACCTCTCAGGGACTTTGTCATTACTTACAAAGTGTTTCCACCGCATACAAGCATTCATTCAGAGATGACAATAGTCTAGGGCAAAGAGTGGAGGCAATAGTCACATGAATAGAACAAAGCTGTTCTCAATGACGTATTATTGGATGCCCAAACATTTATAGTCAAGCCGACTTCACAACGGACATAGAGACGACTTTAAATGACATATTTTTGTAAAAACGATTTCAGTGTGTTGATGAGCTTTCTTTTTCAATATTTAGTTTCAGAGCACATTGTTGTTCAACTAGTTGGAGAATAATCTGTTATAAAAAACTGAAACGACTTTCAACTTGAAATACGTGTGACCATGTCTAAACAGTTAACGAACAATACAAGACATGATTAATTCATCTACTACGTGAATCAAGATTTACACGCTTCTCTGAGACCCCTCACTGGTTTGCATAATTTGTTTAGTATAATGACAGACAACCACGTTGACAAACTTACTTTGATAATACTTATCACATGCATTAAGAAAGCCATTTTAAAGTGTGGTCAGATAATGAGCAATTTATATGTTCTAGGTTGGCTAGGTTAAGTCATCCTTGTCAAATGACTTGCTTCTTTTTAAGGATTGTTCTTTTCAACTCTCCTTTTCCGAGATTAATTAGCACTCACTGGCACCAACAGTCTGGTCACAGTTGCTAGATCAATTCACTACTTTCCAATATTGTTCGAAGCACTCCTATCGTACTTGGAAATTACTCATTATATTGCCGAAAAAATTTCTGACCATTTCATTAACACGATGACTCTTGTTGTTATCAGATACACCTCTTGTTTTTCCTCTAAACATCACATCTTGACCAGCACTTTAAAGGTGTGTGCCACTGGATTTCAACTCAGTGTTCTGAAGGTGAGGAGATTGCCTCGAAGCCTCAAGATGCTGGATTCGAACCCTAATGAGATCATGAAGACACTGCTGACGAGTATCAACCTATCATGAAACATCTGTTTAGTGCTTTCTAGTTTACCATGGTTGTCTACTCAAAGTAGGTTTGATGATAAAAACTAGAAAAATTCAACAATGTCCACAAAATCCTCTATATCAATCAATATGTAAATGGTTACTTACGCCTGTTAATCCCAATGGAGCATATGCGGCTTGGAGCCCCTCTGAGGCTACTGCCGGTCCCAAACCCAAATAAAGAAGGAGGGTTGGGTTTGGGGGTAGCGACCTGATCCTGTAGAAAACTAACTCGCCAAAAAACGCTAACCAGTGATCTTCAATAGTACTTAATTATTATCAGAAACGTTTTTTTGTGAATATTATTTTAATTTAATAGTTGAGTTCATGAGTCGAATTTAAGCTAGACCGTAATAAAAAACCTGGAAGAATTGGACAGCCGTTTCGTCCTATTGCGGGACTTCTCAGAAGTGCGTATCCATTATCCCGACTGCGGGACCCGGACACAGGGCCTTCAGTCTTCCGCGCGAACACTTAACCTCTAAACCACTGAGTTGGCATCCAACGGTGTTAATGTCTAACCTTAACCAATCTACGAAATTGCGGAACCATCTTCCATTGTATTAAGGTAGATACCTATCTCTATCTGATATGAATTAGCTTCATTGGTCACAGCTTCTTACTAGAACTTCGGGAATTCCCTCACGAAGCTATAGTCGCTAATGAGCACATGGTATTTATCAGTATAAGATTATAGAGATCATTAAGTTTTTGATTGAGATCACGAATCAACTAATGTTAGACCATCATTGAAAACCCGGAAACACTGAATAGCCACTTCGTCCCATTGTGGGACTCACAGAACTCACGGTTCCTGTTTTTCCATAATGATCTAAGTTCAACTGAACTCATGAACTCAACTATGAAATTACTGAATTCCTAATTATCAACACTAAAACATTAATCATTGAGTTCATCAATTGACTGCTATTTAATCAGAATGGGTTTTGTGGAGAGTTTTAGAAATTTCACAGGTTGAAATCATGAGTCAGTTGAAGCTAGACCACCATTGAAAACTTAGAAGCACTGGACGGCCGTTTCGTCCTGGTACGGGACCCCTAAGCAGCGCATATCCACGATCCCGCACCACGCGGGGCTCGAACCCAGGACCTACTGGCTTCGCGCGCTAGCACTTAACCACTAGACCACTGAGCCGGCATCCAACGGTGTTAATGTCTAACTTCAACCAATCCACGAAATTGCGCCACCGTACACCATTGTCTTCAGTGAGTTGTTATCTCACAACAGAGCGGTTGAACTCCACTGGTAACGGCTTCTCACTAGAACTCCAGGAGTATCTCTTGAATTATATACTTATTTTGTTTATTTCTGTAACTACGATTTGAATGATCTCTTAATTTCAATGGTTTTCAATGGTGGTCTAGCTTCAACTGACTCATGATTTCAACCTGTGCTATTTAATCATTTAATCGATATGATAAAGTTACAAATATGAGTTTTTGAGATATATCGTCCCCAACACTCCTCCCCTTTTTAATAGCGTACTTTTCTGGGGTCGACTTGCATCTTGACTGTAGTTCGCCACTAACGGAGAGGCCACCTTCTGGGACGGGGATCAGCTTGCTGTTGAGCTTCTTGTGGTGGGGCTGCAGATAAGTTGAAGGTATCAAGCAAGATGTCGAGGGGAAGATTTACTCCTTTTGATGAGCGGTCCAGGGCTATCCGCTTCCGTAGTTGATTTCGTTGTCTAGTCCACGTGTCTCTTCCCACCTTTACCTCGTACATAACTTGGCTTAGTCTTCCAACCACACGTGCTTCGATCCAAAGACCATGATTTGCTGTGTAGTCTTGAGCAAACATCGGGCATCCAACCTCGTACTCTGGAAGCTTCTGAGATGGTGGTGGTGGTGTAGTTCTTAGACACATCAGACTATGGATCGTCCTGTTTTTCCATAATGATCTAACTTCAATTGAACTCATGAATTCAACTATGAAATCACTAAATTCTTAATTATCAACACTAAAACATTGTTTGTTTGTTTGTTTTCTCTCTTTTCTTTTCATTAGGAAAAAATTGTCTTTTTAATTACACGTGTAGAATATGCTAATTTATATCATACAATGACTGATTGGTATAATACTTATTTAACAATGAAATTACTTAATTTATCCGTTAATAATATACATTTATTAATAACTGATGGACATCCTATAGGTAATTTAGATGAAGTATGGTATCAATTATTTAATTATTCTCTATCAAGAATTGGTGCCTATAGACAAATTACAAATTATATTCATCATAATAATACAAATTTATTACCAATATTACCTATGAATAAGAATTATTTATTACATATACATAAACTTGTTATAATACCATATGGTTATTCAAGTCCATTATATGTTGATAAACCACTTTTATCTAATATGTATATTGAAGAATTTCGTCAATTTCTTCTTCAGAGTTATCATTTCAATATTAATGATAATTTATGTTATAAACACATAGTAACTAATTATCAATTACCACAAATTATTATTATTAGTCGACGTGATTATATTGCACATCCACGTAATTTGAATGGACATATTAGTAGAAAAATCAATAATGAATTACAATTATTAAATCAATTAAAACAATTAGGTTTTACAAATTCATTAATTATTGATTTTATTAATTTAACTATCAGTGAACAATTAAATTTAATTATTAATACAGATATATTAATTGGTATGCATGGTGCTGGTTTAACTTATAGTTTATTATTATCAAATACATCAATGTTAATTGAATTATTCCCTAATTATTGTTGTATTAATAATCAACATTTTATTAAATTCACTAAATTACGTCATATTGATTATTATGCTTATTATGGTTTATCAATAAATGATAATAAACAATTAGAATCAACTTATATACCGATTGATGATTTTCAAACAATCATATTACAAACTTATAAGAAATGGAAAGAAAATTGTATGAAAATAAATGAAAAAATAAAAAACAAAGAGTAGATGATCTTCTTTGAGGAACGGGGGGCGGAGGGTTTCGTTTCTTTGTTAGTTTGTTTTGAGAAACTACTTTTGGGGGTGTTCTATCCTAGCGAAGATTAAATCATGAGTAACTTCTGCTGAGACCTGTTAATTGAGTAATATTATCTATACATTCTTATGGTATAATTAGATTATAAATATTTATATTCCCCTTGTTATAAGCTTTATTTTGATCTATAATTTATTATTGTACGATTTACGGTTCTTAAGCTATATTCAGTTTATTAACTACTGCCTCCCATGTTCACAGCCACTTTTTGGCTCTCTTGTGTACAAATGTTATTTCCTATTTTATGGTACGTTGCGATCTGTTTGATTGATATGTCTGAAATAAATTATTCGATTCGATTCGCATATTGGAACCTTGTATTTGGTGTTCTGAACTCAAATGGACGGGCTAGTCGGACATAGGATCAATAAGGACGCTAGACTCCTCATACCGGTCGAACGTCATTGATTTTGGCATAGTGCTACGATTGTAAAAGTCGTATTTTGATTAGTGGATAAATCACGTGATAAAAAGCCGGACGTAAAGTCATAACAGGGGGTATTTTTTTTTCTCTTTTTTTTTTACGGTGAAATAACTGATTTAATGATGTTTAAACATTTATATACAGATTTATATGGATACTAATAATAGTATTTGTGATACATTGAAGAACAAATAGATATTGTAAAGGGGATTGTAGATTGCTCAGAAATGGAATGAAACATTTTTCGGAGGGGGGAGGGGTTTTCTTTTCTTTTTTTAAAAAAAGAATTTTGAAGGCGGCGTTTTTATCTTTTTTTTAAACATTTTTTTGTTGTTTTTTTACGCTGAACTAAGTGATTTAATGATGTATATATATCTACATAAAGTCCTATATGAATATTAATATAACTATTTGTAATACATTGAAAAAAAATTAGATATTGTAAAGAGAACTGTAGATCGCTCAGAAACTGGATAAATAATTTGGGGTGGGGCGTTTGTTTCCTTTTTTTTATTTTTCGGGAGGGGATCTTTCTTTTTACTTTTTTAAAATATTTTTTATACTGAAATAAATGATTTACCGATGTACATGCATCTATATGCACATCTATGTAAATACTAATATAACTATTTGTAATACATTGAAAAAATAAACAGATATTGTGAAGAATATTGTAAATTGTTCAAAAAATGGATAAAAAAATTTTCTGAGGGGGGAAGGGTTTTCTTTTTTTAACTTTTGAGGGGGCTCTTTTCTTTTTTTAAAAAGTTCTATATGATTACTGACAACTATCTGTAATAAGTTAGATACTGAAAAAGACAAGGCAAATAATTTGACATTTTGGAAGAGGAATATCGTTAAAGTTATGGCGGTTTATTTTAATTTTTCATCAATGGGTGGTGGACAATCATAACCATCGTGTAATTAATATCAACCTATAAAAATTATAAAACTTGGTTTCGTTTGTTTGTATGTTTGTGATAAGTCCCCGTCGCCATTGATAAGTCTTGTGAATTGAACGCTATTCGTTTCCTAAGCTATTCTGTGACCCCCAAGCTAGAAATATGCAGCGCCCTGAACACAAGAGAGAAGACGCAAAGTATGCGAGAAAATACTTTACTCTAAGGTTCCGTTATTTTGTTCAGAAAAACACGGGTATTTATAGATGTTCACATTTGTTAAATCAACATCATATTTTAGCCAATCCGCTAAAAGAAATATTATGCTGCTGACTAATAGTTGACATTCTAGAAAGCTCCATCATGCTCTGACTGGCTAGGACTCTTCGGGGCCTCTGGAGGCTCCGTTGCAGTTCTCGGAAAGCCGACTCAACAGTTTGTTTGTTTGTTTTTATTTTGGATTGAATAAGAAAATCCACTAGTTAAACAAACTGAGGAAGTTCAGACAAGTTAGCTGGATGAAATGGAACTACTTTAAATTTCAATCGCTGAGATTATTTCAAATCTACTTTTCACATACAATGTCTGCACTATAGTTTGTTATTATAATATAATAACATCTGATTCAGTTGTTAGTTTTATTCGTTTTCGATTTCTTTCTTGTTCTCTTCATTTCAATCTTCTGCTGGTAGGCATTTCACTTGTCAACATAAGTAGCATACACCACATGTCTATTGACCTATTGAGTCTAGATAGTCACCAACATATTTAATTAGTATAAAGTAAGTAGTGAGGAATCATGACTCTCTTAGTGTTAATATTCAAGAATAGAATTATTCAGTGACTTTTCAATATCAACAAGGGTAAACCACTCATTTGCTCTAATTTTTTCATACTCATTGTATAATTTATTAGCTATCTGAACTCAGCAGTTCAGTAGACAAAGCATTGTGTGTTTGGAACGAAACGTATGACATTCGAGAATCAGTGTGAATATCATCATAGGTATTAATGTACATCCAGTTAATGATGACACTCGTCTCCTACATATCATTGATAGCCACATAACAAATATACCAAAGCAATTCATGTAGATTATTGTTTTATAATCCAATATTTAACTTCTGATCAATTAAAAAAGATGCACTTATAGAAATGATAGCCTGAAATATAGCATTCAAACCAGTCAGCACAATCCTATAGTCTAGTCTTGTACTATGTATGCCCCCAAATGCCTTGGTACGTCTGAGAGTGGGGATAGTCAGCTCCCTCTCTCTCCAAAGCTCTCATACGACCACGTGCATACAACCACTAACAGTGAACTCCTATTCGCTAACTTCTCGCGACATTACTGTTGTTTACAAAATTGAGAGGATGAAAAGTGAATGTCCAATGCTTTAACAGGGTTGTAGATCAGACCTTTAGGTCGAAGGCTCGGGGTGTGGCCCCTAAGAAAACCACTCGGTTCGGTTTGGGCACTCGGGTAGTATCACAGCCCATACAGAAATCAAGTGACTTGTGTGGCGCTTATGTATTCGGTACCCCTTTGTACTAATATTTATACGTTCAAATAAATAAATAAATAAATCTTTTCGACATTAGATACTTTGAATTGTTATATTGTTTTTTAATAAAGTGAGATGGTCATGATGATTATGAGCAATTAACGTACACTTTTTTTAAAATGAACTTGCAGTCACTTTTTTGGAGAAAGTTGCCTCTTATTTGAGATTAAAGCTAGAAAAGGAGTATTTTGTTATTGGAAGAAAACAGTCACTTTTTTAAAGTAGTTGAATTCATGAGTTAATTGAAACTAGACCACTATAGAAAACCTGAAAGCAATAGACGGCCGTTTAGACATAGTGCGGTACTCCTCAGCAGTCCGCATCCACGAACCTGCATGCTGGGACTCAAAACCAGAACCTTTTGTCTCCCGCGTGAAAGCATAAGCTCTAGACCACTAAGCCGGGATCCAACAGTGTTGATATCTAACTTCAACCAATCAGCCATCATCCACCATCTCACAACAGATCCGGTTGAACCTCACTAGTCACGGTTTCTCACTAGAACTCCAGTGTTATGTCCCGATAAGCATAATGAATGGTAACGTTTGGGATCCATTTATGGATCAATACTAAACGTATATTTTTATTGAATAATTGTTAAATAACTAAACTATTCATATTCATATCCCTCGTATTGTGAGCCTTATTTTGACCTATGAACTATTATTATACGATTTACTATTCTTAAGTTATGCCCTGTCTATCAATTACTGCCTCCCACATTCACAGCCACATTTGGTTAAATCTTGTACAACTGTTGTTCCCTATTTTATGGTGTGACGTGGTCTGTTTGGTTTGTCTATAAACCCAGTATGCTTGAAATACATGATTCATGTCGCAGAGGCTGAGATTGGTGTTCTGGACTTAACTGACTGGGCTAGGCAGGAAACAGAACCGTTAAGGACTCTAGACTACTCGTATGTGTTTTACGTGTTATTGGTTCGATCGATTATTCACTGCTCTCTAATTGACGGTATCATTACATTATACATTAACAGGGCACACAAATCACAAGTTATAACATCCAGGAAATATCTCATGGAGACCGTCACTAGTGAGCACATGATGATTATAATCATAAAGAGAGATAAAGGTTTTTTTTTAGATATTATAGTAATTTAATTAATGGTAGATTACGAATTATGGATTATTTATTTCAGCAGTTTTATCGATAAAAACCATTTTTATCAGAATGGGTTTTGTGGAGATTTTTTAGAAATTTCACAGGCTGAAATCATGATTCATTTGAATCTAGACATTAACACCGTTGGATGCAGGCTCAGTGGTCTAATGGCTAAGCGCCTGGTGCGAGACTGATTGGTCCTGGATTCGAATCTCACGGGGGGCGTGTCGTGGATACGCACTGCTGAGGAGTCCCATACTAGGACGGAACGGCCGTCCAGTGCTTCCAGGTTTTCCATGGTGGTTTAGCTTCAAATGACTCATGATTTCAGCCTGTGAAATTTCTAAAAAATCTCCACAACACCTATTCTGATATTAAAACTTATATGCTAGTTGAGTGGAACATAGATGATTAACTATCTGGTGAAATAATTAGGGATGGTACAAATTCCTTTTAAAAAAATACTAAGTATTATTGTAAGCTTGGAGACTTTTAGCTTTTGTAAATGTCGGAGACGAAATCGAATCGCCATGGGAAACGGCAAGGGTACGCTATCAATTGATCGAGAATCGACTGATATAAACTGGTTAGCGATTGCAGGAGAAGTTGAGCACGGCGTTCTCATACATGATCTGGTGTAGATTCATGACCGAGCGCTTTCAGTTAGATGAGTTCATTAAAACGAATGTGGTCAGCATCCAATATCGAAGACTTACAAACAGAGTTATTGATTTTGGAGATTTATTTACCGCTACAATAGCTCTGATTTATTGTTATTGATAATCTATTTCATTTGATTGTTATCACTGATTCATAAAATCTCTTGATTGAATTAAAATTTTTTCATATATATCCATATCAAAGTTATTATGTGTATGACAATAATTTGAATCATTAATTT